AACTTAGGTTCTAGAATGTTCTAGAATGTGCTCGTTATTTAAATGAAATTTTTTATTTTACTTTTTTTTTAAATAGAGGTACTGGAGATTAAACCCAGGACCTCGTGCATGCTAAGCATGTGCTCTACCACTGAGGCTCTGTCCCTCCCCTCTAGAATATGCTTTTACCCTGGAAATCAGTCTTTTAATCACGACACTGATATGGAGGTGATAAGACTTGATACTGAGAAGCACAGGATGCCAGCTCTGAAAGGGACTTCACTTTGAGTGTGTCCCATATTCTTCATATTGTTGACCAAGAAGCCAAAGGCCAGAGAGAGAAATTTTCCCAGGGACAGCCTTGCCTAGGAACACCCAGAGAGGTAGTGAACTTGGACTCTGAAGCAACTTTTTACACCCACACAGAGGGAGACTGCCTTTCATCCGACTAGTGTCCTTCCTACCTTCCTTAGAGTCTCAAGGTGGCCAAAGCTTGTCTTATTTGCACTGCAGTTCATCACACACTGTTTATTTACATGCTTACATTTTGTCGAGGTTCGCCTCCTCCTTTGATTTCCTTCCTGCTGAGATGTATGAAATGACTCAGACTATTAGAAAAACTTGGGAGAGGAGAAAAGAGCCATTGGTAATAATTTCATCTTGCTGCCCTAAATATATAGAAAGGGGAAGGAATCCAAAAGAGAACTGATGCTGAGAGCAAGCAGCCTGGCAAACCGGCTCACGGGGTGAGCTTGGGTCAGTCCCTTCTCTCATCTGGAGCATGTGTGTTTGTTTTGCTGATGAAGGAAGGGGGTTGTGGTGGCTGCCTGGGCTCTGCTCTAAGACCCTGTCCGGTTCTGCCATGTTGGGCAGTGTCTGGGTGGTTTCCCCATCTGCTCTGGGACAACCCACGTTTCCTCCTGCGCCCTGGGAGCAGGGAGGAGCCCAGGGCTTAGCAGGAATGGTGAGTCACACCCTGGCGTGAGTCAGACCCCCAACCCTCCCAAGTCGGAGAAGGGTGAGAGGGGTGGGGCCTATGGCAAGTTTCATGTCCTCCCACCTTGTCCTCTCTTTGGTTTTATATTCACAAGGAGGGAGTTCCATGGCAAGGCTCTGCGTTGGGGCACTGCCGTTCATGGCCGGCAAGCTGCACCATTATTTCCCTCTTCCTAAGGCGTCTTAATTTCATTGCTTTGAGGGAGTTGGGGTGGAAGCCAAGGGGCAGGACTAGCTGCAGAGTTTGTGGCCCCAGTGCAAAGTGAAAATGCAGTCCCCTTGTTCAAAAATTACAAATAATTTCAAGATGGTGACAGCAGAGCAAAACCAAGCATGGGATCCACCCATCTGCTGGTCCCTTGCAACTGCTCAGACTGCAGGCCCGTGAGGCTGCCCTGGGTTGGGGTGGCTCAGGGAGTGGGCTGGGGGTCTGGAGTGGAAGGTGAAGGGGCTGCTTCACTGGACCAGTAGACACCTGACCATCGCCTCGATCCGAAGCCGGAAGTGTTGAGGATTCTTCTCCGTCCGCACTGAATGTGGAAGATGGAACTAGGGCTACCACAGAACAGTGCCCTGGGGTTTCAAGCCGTTGCCCTTTGACTCTGTGCCAGTCAAGAGCAGACAGAATTTTGCAAAGGGGAAGCAGCCCAGGATCAAAAGGGTGATTCACTGAAGGTCACATCGCTCATTAGTGGCAAGTGGGAACTGCGTTTCAGGACTTCTCACTTCCGTGCCCCTCCTAGCCTTTGGGAAAGCTGAGACACAGCAAAATTGTGCTCGCTCGTTGTGGATTAAATTGGAACTTGGGACTCAGCGTGAGATGCAGGAAGGGAAATGAGATAAATGAGAATCGGATGGTGAAAACAACACAGTGGAGAATGCCAAGGCAGTTTGTCTGACTCCTATCTGATGCACAACACACAGCAAAGCAGACAAATGTCGGTGCAGCAAAACAGAACTGGAAGAAGACGCTATTTTCAAATAAAATACGCATATTTCCAACCAGCCTTGAGCTCATCTGATAAGGGACAGATTGTCCAGAGTAAATAGAGAGAAGAGAAAAAGATGCTTTGGGCTGAATTTAGTTCCATGTCAAAATCACGGGGGAACTTATTGCTTCTCTCTCTTCCGTTTGCCGTCTCCCCAGCGGCAAGGACTCCTAGAGCCGGAAAGGGAAACAGAGGAGATGGTATATTCCTGCATTTGTTTGTTCTGTCATCTATCCAACATCTCTTGAGCACCTCTGTGGCCTTACTGGGTGGCACTTCTAGCTCCTGGACCACGCTAGATCTTAAAAAGAATGTTTAAGACACTGCCCCTACCTCTAAGGAGAGTAGACACATAGGTATTGAGGGAGAAAACGAACCACAATAAAGAGTAATACTAGTGATGCCTGCTGTGCGCTATTGGAACTCAGGAGAAGAGAAAGCTCATGCTGCTGAAATTCCTCAGTTGACAGCGGGCTGCTAGTTTCTGTTTGCTCCAGTGGCTGTTGCCTGGATCTGTGCGCCGTCACTGTGCTCCTCTCTCCAAACGACTCCCGGGGAGGGTGCCCAGCTGGACGGCAGGGATGTGGGATTCTCACAGGCAGAACCCATTCACCATCAGTGATGCGTGTCTGTGGACCAATCCTCTGCACCAGAAGCAAACCAAGGGTGGGAGGTGGTTCCAGTTCAGACACAGTGAGAATCAGTACCTACCTGTGCGTTCCCCTCTCCCAACTGCTGCCCCCAGCACATCTGTAAGAGAACAGCCCTGCTGAGGCCAGGGTGAGAGCTGGCTGTGTGCTCATGGGGTGCTACTCCATCCGCATCTGAGAAACGGCAGGAGGAGAGGAGGTCTACTAAACCAGTGGTTGGAAACCCAAGTAAGTAGCAACCTACATTCTCTCTCAGGGATGACAGGATTGAAACAGAGGAGGAAAGGGGGCTAAACAGTAAAGGCTGTCACAGAAGAGAGAGAGGGGGCAACATACCAAGAGAAATGATCCCTAAGCACCTGCTTGTAAACATTTTCTCTGATTCTCTGCTCCTTGGCGTTGAGCGTGTTGACCTCCACCAGGAGATGTGTACGCAGCCTAGGACGTAGCTGGAAATAGTGGACACGAGATGAATCCCCTGATATACCCATCGCCATAGCACTGCTTGTTCATGCCTACAACCAGCATTGACAAAGCCGGTGAATTAACAAAGCTCCAGAACCTCACTGTCTCCCTCAACAGCCCAGGGAGATGGGTGGGTCTGTATGATAATTCCTAGTGCAAGGAAGAGGCGACTGAGGCCTGGGGGAGACTGAGCTATTTGCTGCTGATCCCAGGGAGTGGAGGACGAGGGACCAGAGTCCTTGTTTTCTCTGTGACATTCTCTCTTCTGCTTGTGTCCTTCCTGGATGTACTGTCTCCCGCTCCAGTTAGCACAGGGTGTGGGGGGACAGGAGCGCGGTGTGAGCTGGGAGAAGCGTTCAGCAGCCCCTGGAAATTAGTGATAATTAGATAGCTGCTACACGGACGTGCAATGTCTTTGTGTTGAGTCTCTTGCCCTTTAAACGAGCTCAATCCAGCAATAACTTCACACAGCAATGCATCGTTTGGTCCTACTCTTAAATGATCAGGCTGGGATCCAGCATCTCTCCGTTCCTCCTGCTTTTTACCCCCAACCTGAGCCATCATAAAGACATTTGGAGCTGAGTGGGCACAGTATTTGTTTCACAATTACTTCTAATTGCCCTGTAGTTTTGTGGCGTATAAGTGGTGTGACCTACATACCAGTTATATGAAACTCTTTTCATCCTAGAGTCTATATTAAGGAGGAGATAAATCAAGGAACAGTGGCTCAGTCCATCTCACAGTTAACATTTATATCCCTGCCACCATTGGTACTTGCTGAAATGCCAGCTCTTCTTAACAGCCCAGATCTAAGGCTGCCTCTTCCTCTGTGAAGCCTCCCTGGATTGTTCCTTCTTTCGGCTTCCCACAGCTCTTGTTCTGATCCTATCTGAGGTGCTCATCATTTTCTGCATATTTCATCTTCCTGAACTCCTTATGCCAGAGATCGTGTCTAGTTTATTTTTCGATCCTGCTCTGCTCTGAGAACTAAGAGTAGCCGAGGTCGTTGCTCAAATAGCAGAGGAGGAGGTCGTCACTCAGTTAAGCACTTACTGAGGGAAAGCATTCACCAAGCACGTTGCAGACATTGAGGGGGCTTGTGAAAAGAGCCGTGGCCCTGTGATCCTTTCCACAGTTCATCTTACTGTACACTGACTCTCGGCATACAGAAGTCTTACTTGGGTTTCAAAATCAATTCGTTGAGAATCAGTTAAATTTTCTAGCAATTGTTGCTGTATCAGGTCTTATCTTACGTTCATTTTCATATGCTGCCTTTCAGCTCTTACCTCCATCTCTGAAGGAGAAATAATATCCCCAATGTACAGAAATATCAGCTCAGAATGGTAAAAACATGCCTTGCCATAGGCTGTAAAGCCATTGAATGCAGATCAGGATTCATTAAATAGATATTGATTAATCACCATTCACTCAAAAAAATTCAATTTAGTGCTTGCCACATGCTGGGCACGGGGGGGGGGCTATATGGGAGAATAAGGTGGAGTTGTTACCTTCAAGGAGCTCACAGTCTACTGAGAGGGGCACACACTTAAATGGAAGCAACTGCGTGTGGCAAATACTCTAATGAGAACACTGACCTGAGACTGTTCTCATAAACACGTCCTTCTTGCTCTACATGACCTCCGCTCTCCTGATGTGAACGTGGTGGTGATGCTCAAAGTCACAAGTGTCCCCCAAATCAAGTCATCAAAAAAGAATGTTAATAAAGGAATATAGTCTTCAGATTTAAGCTTTGGACAGAAGCCTGCTCCTGCTCACCCCATCCGAAGATTTTCATCAAAGAGGGAGTTGGCAGAAAAATCTAGGACTTCTTGAAGGAGAGGATGGGAGGGAGAGGTGTGTCAGTCTGTAGAATGAGAAAGGCCCCGCCCGCTGCAGTTCCCCGTCTCTGACAGGTGGAGTTCCACCCTGTAAACACCCTCATCCTTTCGTGTGACCCTTTGTTGGAGGTTGAGCACTTCACTCTCAGCCGTCTCGGTGAGGCAAGGTTCAGACCGAGCTGGGTGGCAGCACGAGCGCATCCTCTTCTTTGGCTTCTTCTGGACCAGCCACACCAACACTGGCCACTGTCTGTGGTCTGGCCCCCTTCGTCCAACAAGAGAAGAAAATCCTTGAGGACCGGCCACAGTCTCGCCAGGTAAGGCCAGGTGGCTTGTCACTGGTTCTGCAAAGAGCTGGGGTTTTTCTCTCTGAGATGATTCCTCCTGTCCCCACCCTGTGTCTCTGGTCCCCTCCGCCACTGCCTCACAGTCCCATCTAGGCACCGGTTCTCCATGGCCCCGTGAAACTTCTGCTCTATCCTTTCTTATGTCTCAGGGTTGACGAGATTTGCAGACCAGCTTTTTTCAGCCTACAAACTCCCTGACACACCTACCTCTGTATTGATTTTGGTCTTAACTGCCCTGTGAGGACGGCAGGAGTGGTATAATTTTCTCTATTCAGTGGCTTAGGAACTGAGGCTCGGTGACTTGAGGTGATTTGTCTGAGTTTGATCTGAAGACTGAGGCCAAGATTAGATTTGATTCCTCCTTTTCTCTCCCTTTACCACCCCACCTAGCAGGTCATACCTTATCTCAAAAAGCCAAGAGGAGTGAAAGGGCTTCCTGAACTGTCAAATGGCAAACAGAAGGCACTCTTTTCTTGTAGGCAGATCGGGAGGGAGATTTTTGAATTCATCTGAGAGAGATTTTATCGTGACATATAGGCTCCATCAAATGTACTCTTTGGGGGGAACAAATGAGCATGTGTATGGAAAGAGGCCTTGGAAATTGAAAACCGATGTGTAACTTCCAGAAGATGACTACGTGGAGCCTGACACATGCTCTGGCTTCTATTTGGGGCTGAAATGACACTCTCCTAATGTTGACAGCAGTCGTACAAGGCGCTGATCACAAAGGCCCTGGGGAAACACTTTAGCTTATCCATCTTACTGTGGTGTATGGAAAAGCAAATTTCAATGGGGAGGGACACCCCCAAATCCTTTCAAACTGACTCCTGCAATTTCCTCTCTGATGACAGCTATCATTATACGGCATTGTTCTGCTGTTGTGAGAAAATCTCATCTTCAGTGATTATGTCGTTTATTTTTTAAGATGCTAATTTTAGCTATCATTTTTCTCTTCACGCTGTAAAGGTTGTATCGTTCTCAGTTGTAGAAGGAAATGTTTCCTTTGTGTGTGCGTGTGCGCGCGTGTGTCTGTTTGAGTTTGTTATGACAGTGCTAATGTTCATACCCCTGGGCCCCCCACAAGGCAGTGGGTTGCATTGCTACGTAATCTTTAGCAGGCTTCTGTATATTCTTAGTGTCTTTGTGGCTGTAAGGGTCTTGATGAAATCACTTAATCAATTATCTTATTCGAAATAAAGTAACCGAAGCCCAGAAAGATGACATGATGTGCATAAGACCAGGCAGCCGGTGATCACTGAGGCTGTAACCCTTACGTTGCCCACCACATGCAGTGAATGGTGCTGGGTATCCTTAAGTAGAAGCATGAGTTGTGTGCCGTTTTGGGGTCTGTACAGATGCCCTTTAAGACTCCTTTCAGTTACATGTTTTCGAGCACTTTGACCATTTTTAAGCATCCAGTGGAAATGTCATCCCACCCTGCAGAGTCGGGGACTTCTCCCAAGAAGCGTCTTTCCTTATTAACTTGACTCTTGTGAAATATTTGTTTTAACCAAATTTTGGAACTTCTCCTTAGGTATAGGGGTGGGAGATGGGCAAGCAATGGTGGTGTCTTCAATTGAACTAGTAGCAAATATTGACCATCCAGGAAATGTCTTGTAGAAGTTCAGGTATCTAATTTTTCAGGGAGATCGGAAGACCCATCAGCAGTGGCTGCACATTCGCGCCATCCGCTGGATCTGGGCAGCATGTGGTCCTTGTGGGGGGAGCCTGTGACCCCCAGTCCTCCACGGTCCCCATGGGACCTGACGGAGGCGCACAGGTATTTGGGTTTGTCGATACTTCTCTCTTCCAATCTCTGATGGGTTCAAATCATTCTCTTTCAAGGGAAACCTAGTTAGTTCCACATAATGAAAGGCCAGACCACAGATCAATGACGCCAGGGAGGAAATGAAATTAATTCTTTGGCCCTAACCTCTCATTATTTAAGAGGTAGGAAAAATGATGACTTCAACAGAATATGCCTTTGGCCCTGGTACCTATGCAGGATATTAAGCCAGATATCAAGGCTCAGTGACTTGAAAGCAGAAGTGTTAAACAAGATGACACAACTCCAACATCATCTCCAGGTTCAAGAGAAAAAGAAGGAAAATTGACAAATGATGAATAATACTCTACTCAATAGATCAATGACATAAAGATGAGAAAAGGTATTATGATGTATGCAAGCACATGGATAACAGCACAGTGCCTATATTCCCAAAGAGAACAAAACAAACTGCTGAAATCTTGGAATCTAGCCCAAAAGTCTGTTTGCTATAATGCACCCACTGATGACATCATCACCTCCTGATCACTTATGGTGGACATCACCCTAAGCACAGGGACTCAGGGATGAACAGCAATGACCCTTCCCCACAGGGGCTTCACTGGTATTGAAATGGTGTGCACACATAACTGCAGTCCAAGAGAAATAGGAGACATGCTGCAAGAGGAAGAAAGCAATGTTGCTTTACTGAACAAGGAGGGACTCATGACAATAGTCAGGTTGCCATTATAGGGGAGGTTGCAAGGAGGAAGTGACATTTGACCTGGGCTTTGGACAGATAGAGGTGAGAAGAGTTTCCAGCAAAAAACAAATTTAAACAAACTCATAAGTCAGTACTGTCTGAAAAGTACTTGAAAGATAACATTTACTGGGCTAGTGGGACTGACGGAGGAATGAGGCTGGCCGTTTGGGTCTGCACCAGATCCTGGGCGCTGAGTGGCAGGCTTAGGGCTTCAGACCAGGCATCACAGAGTGGATTTGAAGAGCAGGACAACTATCGGCTAGACATGTAGTTCAGGTTCATGACTATCCACGTCCATATTTTGGCAGTGTCAGAACACGTGTGTGGATACCACTGAGCTCAGCCTTAAGTTTTTCAGGAGAATTAACAGAAAAAAAAAAAAAACCCCACAGAACTGAGCACTTCTGAACACAGTGGACAGTATCAGATACTTAGCAAGGGAGGCCAGGTGGTAATATACAGTGAAATTAGAAAGATGGATGAAAATATTTTAAAAACACATTGAGCAACTTATAAAGGATATTTTATGAAAAAATATAACCAAATCTTTTTTTAGTAAGTCTATTCTGCTGGGTTATCTCAAAGTTAGAAAAGTGATATTGCATAAGTTCTTAACTTGTAGGGTGTGGTGAAGGCTTACTTTAGGTTGATAAGCTTTGTCATTTGGTCTGGGAACCTGTCATCTGGTAATGAATAGTTATAGAAGGTTCATGGATGCCCCAGGCCTGGCCTCTGCCATAATAAACACTTCTGGAGGACTTCACAAATATGTGAACACTTCGTTGTGGTTTACAGCATCCTCATGAGCTACAGGGAAGGTTCTCATCTTGTGAAGGACTCTACCAGTCATCAGAACAAGAGTTACACAGATATATTGGGTAACCAAACTTTTCTCATTTTCATGCACGTGGTTGTATGAGATTGGTTCAGAATTATCTCTCCTTGGTCTCTGCTTCAAGGGAACTAGGTGGGTGTTATGGCTCAGAGTAAAAGGAAGTATTTGAATAAGATTCATTCATTTGAAACTGTTTATTGAACATCTGTTCAATAGAAACATCAAGTTTCATTCATTCAAATCTACTTACTGAATCTGTGTTCTAGGGCTTGCAGCAGTGAAGAAAAAGAAAGTCTGTGCCCTCAGGTGGCTTATATTTCTAATGGAACAGATGGAAAAATAAATAAAATCAACCATTAAAATATATAATGTATGAGGTACAGAGGAAAAAGGACAAAGCAGGGGATAGGAAGTTTTGGGGAGTTGAGATTTGGGAGATGGTGCTTAGGGAGAAATAAGCTGTTATTTGAGTAAAGATGTTTACAATATGAGAGAGCAAAGCATGTAAATAACTGGTGAAACAGCATTCCAGGCAACTAGCACAGCAAGTGCAAAGGTCCTGAGGCAGAATCATGTCTTCTTGGCCCCTTTGAGAAAAAGGCATAGATTAAACTGAGAGACAAAAAAACCTTTGGAAATCAAATTAGAAAGATGATGGTGGAGTGGGGATGCCACAGTGACATGCAGGGTCCTGTGACAACCTGTGACATTCACTCCAAGTGAAATGGGAGCCATCTGCAAATTTTGGACAGAGGAATGACTTGGTGTGACTTCCATTTCAAAGGAATCTCTCTGTGTGTTGAGAATAGATGAAGGTGGTGTGGGGAGAAGGCAGGCAGAACGGGGAGATTCATTAGGAAGTTATTGCTATAACTCAGATGATTGCTGTGGAAGCTTGGGCACACACATAGTAGTGGAGGTGATGACAAGTTTGTCGATCTTATGTTTGATTGACTGAATGGGGAGTCATGAGACAGGAAGGAGGCAAGTAAGACTCCAAGATTTTTGGTGAGCAACTGGTAGAAAGGAGAGGCCTTTATCTGAGATGAAAACCATGAGAGGAACAGGTTTTTGAAGGTACATCAGGAACTTACTTTTAGACAGGAGGCCATCGGAGATGTCGAGTAGTGACTGAATATATGAATCTTGGATTCAGTGAGGATATATCTGAGCTGAAGATAAAAGCAGGAGTGATCGATACATACATGACATTTACAGCAAAGGAACTGAATGAGCTCTTCAAGGGAGTTGGTACAGACAGACGAGGGAGGAGGTTTCAGAGTGACCTTTGGGGTGCTGTAACATTTTGGGTTAGGAAAGTGGGGAGAATCTGGCCAATAGTGCACTAAAGGGGAAAGGGCATGGTGGGGGTGGTCCCATACTAGCAAAGGGAATTTTATCACTGACATTGTTTAGGATCCCCAGCACAAGGTAATAATGAAAAACATTTTCATTTACATTTTCTGTAGACAACAAACCCACCCCTTTGTCCTCTGCACCCTGGAGCAGACCACTCCTCCCACCCTCTCTCCCCTCTGGTTCCATGGGAACCAAGAAAGGAGATAGAGGAGGAGCAGCTGAAATGGTGGGTGAACACTAGGAGAGAG